TAGGTCCTTACTTTCCGTGCAAAAAAATATTTTTATTTCATGAGGGACGTTCGCCGGATTTGGCAATTAATTTAGATTATTCCCAAATTTATTTATTAGTTATAAAAATTGTTAACGGGCAAAGACATTTGTCAAAAAAAAAAAAAAAAAATCTCATAAGAAATCGACGAAAATAATCACATTAAAGAAAATTTGGGAATCCAAAATTTCAGAATTGCGGGTCTGGAACAGGCCCCGAATGTTTTTAATTTGCTCACGGAGTCAGCCTGATTCCAAAATGTTATGATATGTCGGGTTACGGCCTCTAGGAGTAAAGTTGAAAACTGTGACACACTGACCCACTGACATTCGCATTTTTTTGTCTGTGTGTGCATATATATGTCATTCCATATACGATATATATATATTTGTGTGTGTGTGTGTGTGTGTGTGTGTGTGTACAGAAAGAGAGATATAGCTGTGTGCGCGTGCACACGTGTGTATGCGTAATCACACGTATAAAACGACCTATCATGATACAGCACTAAACAGGTAAATTCTGACACAAATACAGTGTGAAAACTGTCCATATAAACGCTTTACGGAATTAAAGCCAGCGGCAGCCTCCACCTGCACCATCGACGACGACGACACACTCAGCAAGGAACCCTGAAGCGCTAATGGGATTTTTTGTTGTTGAATTTCTAGCGACCCGTGCGTGCAAAATGGGCTGTAATCTGCAGAATTCATGAGTAATGTAACTTTTCAATGCTCCCCTGGCGGAACTTTACGACTTAGAAGCGTTAACGAAACAGGGGAGAAATGATAACAAACGAGAGACAGTGAGAGACAGATAAGCAGAGAGTGGAGGAGGGAGACGAAGAAAATATGCTGAGTAGAAACTGAGAACACAAGAGGAAACAAAAAAAAAGAAAGAAAAATAGATACGAAAACTGATACAGTTCGATGGCTGTGTTATTATTCATGTCGGTAGTGAGGGAAACTGATGAAAAGGAGAGAGAGAAAATGTCAGGGAGAAGTGAGCGACAGAAACCGATAGTGGGAGGGAATGAAAGAGCTGATCTGTACGCATGCGTATGCGCGTGCGTGTATTGCAAAATAGACAGTTGATTACAGTCACATTTCTCTTCACTCGACTCCAGTCAGCATTTCGTGTTTCAGCGTTGGAATTTATAGGTGCGAATTGAAAAGAAATCGGATTTAGTAAATCTGTAGGCCGTTTCAAATGTCGTAAAAATGTGACGAAGTGAGCGGAGGATTATATATATATATATATATATATATATATATATATATATATATATATATATATATATATATATGTGGATGTATGTGTTCCTATAGCTAAAATATTTATTTGTGTTAAGTTTAAGGCGATACAGAGACGAATGTTTATTTTGATTTTATTTAAAAGAGAGAGAGAGAGGGGAAATATCGTGTATTATACAAGTTATTTACTTATATCATTCTACGAGTGCTACTAATTACAATGCAAGCCAGTACTACCTGTAATACGGTCAGATTATTTCAGACTAAACCGGATCCCCCACAAGTTGTTTTTTTCTTTCTGGATGGTGACTAGACTCCAAGAAATATTAAAAACAACGGCGGTTGAACTTTCGTGTAGGGTTGACGCCTGTCTCTCACAATAGGGTAGACTAATCTCCATAGCTATGCATGCAACTAACTAGTGCAGCGATGGAGGAATTCTTAGACGTTAGTGAACGGACAGAACGGAGGGTACCCGAGATAAAATAACCGGTCACGTATCCACAACCAAGGCGAGTTAAAGGAGATCGGCTGTGAATTTTTCTGGAGAGGAGAGCGCTACATGTCCAAGAGGCGATATACTTCGCAGCTTTTCGATCCAGATATACGCAGGGAGCAAGCCACATGCTCTCCTGCTCAGATAACCTACCAGTATATTCAGTCAAGTGACTGATGATGATGATGATTATGATGATGATGATGATGATGATTACTAAGAATATGCGTGTCTTCATCTTATGTAGCTGTTCATATAACTGGACTTACAGAGGTTTATTAACAGAATAAAGATGCTTCATAACACAAAGCAGAGACTGGACTTTATTTCAATGAAAGAAATAGAATGAATAGACTAGACTAGAATAGATAGATACATAGATATGAACAGGCCATGATAGATAAATAGATAGTTATGAGCAGACCATGATAAATTGACAGTCGTAAGCAGATCATGATAGATAGATATGAGCAGATTATGATAGATAGATAGATATGAGCATACCATAGATAGATGGATATAAACATGAACATACCATAGATAGATAGTTATGATCATACGTTGTAAGATAGATAGATAGATAGATAGATAGATATGATCATACCTTGTAAGATAGATAGATAGATAGATATGATCATACCTTGTAAGATAGATTGGTAGATAGATATGATCATACCTTGTAAGATAGATAGATAGAGAGATATGAGCATACCATAGATAGATAGATATAAACATGAACATACCATAGATAGATAGTTAGGATCATACCTTGTAAGATAGATAGATAGATAGATAGATATGATCATACCTTGTAAGATAGATAGATAGATAGATAGATAGATAGATATGAGCATACCATAGATAGATGGGTATAAACATGAACATACCATAGATAGATAGATAGTTATGATCATGTTGTAAGATAGATAGATAGATAGATAGATAGATAGATAGATAGATAGATAGATATGAGCAAGTCATGATAGATAGACAGGCAGACAGATAGAGGGAAAGAGAGATGAATACTGCGTGTTTTATATCGTGTTTGTTAGTATATAAGACCAACATTTTGATCACATATAATATTCACTTATATCCTCCAATACTGTCATCTTTTCAATGTGTAATATATTCCATAAATTTGGTATATGTTTGAGAATGTTGGGTACCATATCATAGCCATTTGGGAATTTTTCATGGATTCCATTTGCCTTGCCTATAGTGAAATCTCAAATCGTTGGGATAAGTTACCGCGCAGAACCGTTCACAGTAAAGATCATCAAAACCATGCTTTCCGAAAGATAGCTACACTTGTTTTGTCCATGTTATTATCATGTCTGAATAACAGCTCCTGCGATATGTGTTCTTCGTTGAATTGGATTCAAACGAAAAGTCTTACACTGGTTAGCGCAAGCGATACAGCATTTCCACCATATAAAGACGGGTAATATCATCCTGTGACGTCGTCCCCCGGTTGCAGCGCCAACTGTGACGTTCTATCCTGATCTACCACGGCGCCAGTTGTGTCGTGGCCGTTCCAGGGTCCTATCCCGGTCACGACACCATTTGTGACGTCCCTAAACAGCACCAATTGTGACGTCTTCGCCGCGGCGCCAGCTGTTCGCTCCTCGCTTCTCCGTCCGGGTGTCGCTGCTCCAAACGTGACGTTCGCCTGTCGCGTCAGTCGTGTTGTCTCGTACTGTGACGACCAACTGGCTTGGTATCGGTCGCGGCACCCAAATGTGACGTTCTAAGCTTTTGGTGATTCGGGTGGGAATCTGGTTAGATTTGATATCAGCCTCGCCGTTCCCAACTCGCTTCCAACGCCTGGTTACCAAGGTAACTGCACTGATCCATAGTCTGCCTACCCACGTTGTGAATTGATCTTAGACAGACGAGATCAAACAGGGGTTGGGGCCGTAATGCAAATTGAGTTCAACGGGGGTGATAACACACAAATATGTATAAAAGAAAATAAAATGAAAACTCAAAAAGTTCAAAGTATCAAAGAAAAAGGTAACAAACTTTATGTCTAGTTGTTCGATACATAGGACTGCATCTATCTCCCGACCCGTTCTGTGGATTGTGACACGTCGCTTTCGCTAGGCAAGTTTTGACGCTTCAAGTTGTCTGCTCTGTAAGAAATTTGTGTTTCGGTGTGTCTTTGGACGAAAGTCGATAAACTTATTTCTGGGGTCTGGTTCTAAGTCGCTCTTCAACATAATTGTTCTTGGTTGAAGAGGAGTCCAAAATTTTGCGTGAATCTTGGTCAGCTATCTTGGTCTATCATCTCTCCCGCCAGGGTCGAACGAACTGTCTTCTGCCCGTCAGGGTCCGAACGAACTCTCTTCTGCCCGCCAGGGTCCGAACGAACTGGGCACTCATCTCTGCCGTCCGGGACTGAACGAACTGTCTTCTGCCCGCCAGGGTCCGAACGAACTGATTTCTGCCTGTTGGGGCCTCGTTTTTATTGACGCCGTCAAAAACCGGGTTGGGTCTGTTGGCGTCGGGAAGTTCCTCGATAATTCTAAATACATATCGACCTCTTTTATTTCTGGTTAGGGATTTTCCACTCTTTTCCATTTTTGGTAACTTTTTTCTCACTCCCACTTTCTCACCATGCTTCTGAGGGGCGTGAACTGCCCTCCCCACTTCTTCGTAGCGGCTTCTCATACTTATACTCTTCATGGGGGCGTCGACAGTCTTCTTCGTGCGTCACGTGATCACTCTCGGCCAAAGAGGTCTTGGTCGGGTATCTTTCCTCCTCCTTCGTGCGTCATGTGATCATCACTTGGCCAATGACGTCTTAGTCGGGCCTGAACAACCCGCGGGTTTGTTTTGGAAAAGAAATACCTTTTTTAACTAAAAAAATTAATGATCTCTCCTCTTTCTCTTTTTTTCTTTCTTTCAAATCGCCGTTATCATGAACGGATAATGTGACAACTCTTTGTTCAACACGTGGCGTTTGTCAAGCAGTTTATCGCTAATGCATCAGACGGCTGGGTTTTCCGACATGGTCTCAGAAAGGATTTTTCTCCAAGTTTTCAGCCAGTCTGACGTCTCCGAGGCAGCAATAAAAACATTTCTTATTCCATTCATTTTCCTTCGGTTCATGTGTCTGATAACAAAATGTTATTATCGCAGGGCAAAAGTCTGTTTTGTCGAAAAGAGCTTAACTAGTGAGAATACTTGTGTGGGATTTTAATTTTCCATACCCAGCTAAGGTTCCAAGCTACACCTGTGTTTTGTCAATTATCAAAATCTAACGTTTTCAAGTGGACTTTCATTGGCGAACATTTCTTGATAACACAATTTCATTCGCGCAGGACAAGTGGGGAAATCGGTCAATGCTTGCTCGCAGGTGGCCTTTAATTTTGATAGCAAGATGCCTTCTCGTACCAATAGTTTAGATAACACTTCCCTACCCACTCAATCTCATTGTCATGGTAATGACAATCCTTTCGGCATTTGCCACTTATCCAAAATAACCCCCTTTTTTATTGCCTCTTAAGCCGTGTGTGTGTGTTCGCCAATGATCCGTCTCGCATTACTTCTTCCTTCTTTTCTTCTTTTCTTTCCTTTTCCCTTTTTGCCTTTCTTTCTCTGCCTGGATGCATGGTGCCACAATCCCTAGACTATGAGAAAGGTTAGCTGGTGGTCGAATCAATTGATTACGTGTATGCATCGACGCTGATCAAACCTGAGAACCAAGTGTGTCTTTAACATGGTCAAGCAGAAAGGATCGATGATGAGGAAGTGTCATTCCATATACGATTTAATTACTTTACATAAATATTCACAATTAGCAGTTTTATATGCCAATTTGTACTAGCAAATTTCGTAATCGACGAATGGCTTAGATAAAACATTGTATGGCAATGAACTCTGGCTAGTCTCCAAATGAAGGAGAAAAAAATTTAAATTTAACTTAGAATATTGATTATAGAACGTAAAAGAATTAAGACGAATCAGTTTGTGGAATCTTCCACATTAGCGTTTAACCCCTTTTAGAAAGATGTATTCTTCTCTAAAAAGCCTTTAACCAATCATCATCTCATTTCTGCAAATTCAATCTTTTATTGGTTAATAAACACCAAATTGTAACAAAGTTCCAGGCGAATCCTATTTCCCGCCGAGCTCTCTGGAGCCGATTTTGCCACATAAAAGTCTATGAAAATAACCGCATGACTCAATTCAGACAGTCAGTCATTGAGTTTCATGAGATGCTAACCAAACTCCACGCATGTCAATTCACTTACTCACAAACCACATTGAAATCTCAACAAACTCATCAAAGCATTCATCAACCATTGTCCGCGTGTTTAATCAACATCTACAATTGACTTAAAAAGTGAACGTTTTCACTACTATAAAAAGTAATTGTACACTTCACCAATTTAGCCTATCAGTTAAAAGCAAGCAACTCCTGACAACATTTATTCTTACTTCTAAACTACACACGTACGCACACTGATAAATGAACAAACATATTTCACATCTTTCTTTGCAGAATCAAAAAACATCAACATTTCTTAACCCCATTTCTGAATAAACATTCTTTATAACATTATCTTAGTTATTACAACAAAAATAATTTGATTGTTATTACATATGTATTTATTGTTGATTTAAAAATTTCTTTATTGTTAGATCCCTAACAACTGTGTTTAGTAATTTTTTGCCATGCAAATTGTCCTTAAATTGTTTGTGTAATCTATATGTTGTGGGATACTGACATTATAAGCTCGCATAATCTTCGTCTTGCATAAATTTACCTTCTAATACGTTTCACTCCATGTACATCCCGATCACTGAAACCATTGCTTTCCGAAAGATAGCTGCATTTGTTTTGATCACGTCATTCTTATGACTGAATAACAGCTCCTGCGATATGCGTTCTTCGTTGAATTGGATTCAAACGAAAAATCTCTCACTTGCAAGCGTAAGCGATACAGCATTTGGACCATATGAAGACGTGTAATATCATCTCTAGACTACGAGAAATGTTAGTTGCTGGCCGAACCAACTGATTACGCGTATGCATCGACGCTGATCAAACCCGAGAATCAAGTTTGTTTTTAACATGGTCAAGCAGAAAGGATCGATGATGAGGAAGTATCATTCCATGTGCGATTTAATTATTTTACATAAATATTCAAAATTAGTCGTTTTATATGCCAGTTTATACTAGTAAATTTCGTAATCTAATAATGGCTTACATAAAACGTCATATGACAATAAATTCTAGATAATCTCCAGATGCAGAGGAAAATGAAGATTTAATGCAGAATATTGATTACAGAACGTAAAAGAATTAGGACGAATCTGTTAAAGTTATAGAAGATAGTGACGTAATTTTTCAGGAAGAGATTTAATAATGTGAACAAGATTTTTCTATGGTGAAATTTTCAGCAATCAATCCTCGAAAATAGCTAATAGTGAAGTGAGTTCAATCCTTCATTGGTAACAGGATATTGTATTTGTTCTCTAAACTAGAGGAGACATCGATAATTGGGAAAAAGAATAAACACCTTCATATTTTTTGCGAAGAGAATGTAATAAAATAAAATAGTAGGAGAAGAAATTATTTTTTTCATCGAAGTAAGAAAATCGGGGGAAAAAAAAACAAACATACTAATGCAAAAATAACGGAATGGCTTCAGCATTAGAAATAAAGAAGAGAAATGAATGACGACATACCTGTTTACGCCTATATATAAATAGATTTCCACCCC